GTGGCGAAATCAACTCTAAGCCTACGTAGTCCGAACCGGAAGCCAAGGTGAATTTCCACGTGGCGCTGAATCCTGTCACGCAGGGCTCCAAGCCCTTCCTTGTGTGGGAAACCTCCTCGGTCCAGCGGAGCGCCTGCTTAAGTCATGATCTCCCTAAACCCTAAACCCTAAACCCTAAACCCTAAACCCCAAACCCTACACCCTACACCCTAAACCCTAAACCCTATAAACCCTAAACCCTAAACCCTAAATTCGGGCTTTGGGGTTTTATGTTGCACTCGCTTCTACTAGCAGTTGCCCAACGCAAGGGGGGGAGCGGGGTGGGGGTGGAAAAGGGCGGGGACCGGGGAGGAGGGGACACGAGGAGGGGGGTCGCGGGTGAGAGTGGGCTTGAGGCCTCAAGCTTCTGGGGACTGGGGGCATTGTGGCCTGAGGCTTTGAAACCTGAGGTATCCTGAGATTTTTTTTGGGAGCCAGCAGAAAGCAGTACATGCGTCTCAGGCTGTAGCTGGCAGACTGAGCACCCGAACAAACTTCAGATAATGGAGGGTGACTCCGGCAAAGTCAGGAAATTGAAGAAGCCAGACAACTTTTGATTCTCGCGGTTGGCTGCAATTACTTCTATGGTGCAAAGTTAGAGCCGTGTAGGTTTTGAGTTGCATTTGGTGGAGGATGACCCCGAACTATGCCTACAAGTCATTGCTGGAGGGCGGCTACATCAACAATGCCAACCGAGGCTTGATGCAGAAGGCCCTTTTCCTGGGCACATACCCGCACTTCTCCAACAGGACAGACCGGAAGCTAGCAAGTTTCGCGGCCAACTTCTTCAATGTGCACGTTTGGTCCATGCGCCACCGGCATGCCGCTCCAAACGAGCAGGTGAAGGGCATCTATGCCGCAATCGATGTGGGAGAGTTCGATGCCTTTCAGAAGCATGCAGGCGTCGTCTTCAACATCACGGAGGATCGGTACTCCATGGTGTTCCGCACATCGGGAAGTGCTCTCGAAGGCGATGACGTTGTCACAGATCACCCGCACCTTTACAAGAACGAGCAGGACAGTCTTTACATGGAGAAGGCACTCGATGCTCTGGAGGAGCTCTTCGGCTACAAGGTTCGGGAGGCGATCTACGAAGATGGAGGAGTCCGCAGCGCCGACTTTACCGCCATCAGCGTGGACCCCAAGGAAGGTGCCGTATCGGTTGACGGCATGTTGCGCCACTTCAAAGCCGCGAAGAACTTTTTCGCGGAACAGTCTCTGGTCCTTTCGGAGAAGGCGGCCAGCAACTTAGTAGCTGAGTGAGCACACTTTACACTTTTTGGGATACTATACCCTAAACCCTAAACCCTAAACCCTAAACCCCAAACCCCAAACCCTAAACCCTAAACCCTACAGAACTGAAAGTGCACACTTTTTGGGGGGCTTATGAACTCAGCAGCTAAGGCAAGATTGTTGATGCGGAGGCCATGCAGGTCTGAGCACGATATTCATGTTAGGGTTTAGGGTTTAGGGTTTAAGGTTTAGGGTTTAGGGTTTAGGGTTCAGAACCTGCTGCCAACTCTTCCTAGCTTCCACGTAACTTTCGGAGATCCCCAACGTACAATGTACCAGGATCTGATTGGACAGCCGCATCATTTTAGTACCTCAAAGTCAAAAGGCCTACAGCCACACACACACACAGACAGAGTGCGATAGTTCAAAGCTTACCTCTCGTTAGCATGTTCGGGAGACTGGACTTGTCGAAAGTTGCGGGAAGAGTGCACGCTTCAGTAAGTACAAGGTCAGTTCTCGAAAATGGGGGTCCGTTTTGTTGGTCCTCACTATAATGCGGCCCCTAATATTTTATGGTGTCTAGAAAGGACCCTTTAAACCAAAAGGGCACCCTTTCTATTCCTAGTTTATTTCTGGGTCTAGTTCGAGAACTGACCACAGACATACCCTAAACCCTAAACCCTGAAACCCTATAATTTACAGAGAACTGACCACAGACATTGCAAACGCTTGGAGACTTGGAGCTGCTCCAGCTGTCCCTTCTCGCGGCAGTTGTCTCTTTTTAAGGTGGGGGTTGCCGATATTAGGGGAACCTTACTGGGGTCCTTATAGTAAGGGGATCCTACTACTCTAAACCCTAAACCCTAAACCCTAAACCCTAAACCCCATATTCGTGAACCGCCAGGCTGGTAGAGCACGGTGCTTAATGCACTGCTCCTGAGTTCTGTCGCATCCTGATGCGTCTTTGGCTCTTTCCACGCTTTTCCAGGCCGCGCGCCTTCTTTAAGATCCCCCATGCTAGAGTTTCCTTAAAAGAGTTCTATTATTTTGTAGTCTAAAACACCCAGAAATTACACAACACATTTGTTGTTATGGTTCTAAGGGGTCTATCGAATGTACGATATCCGTGAGAGCCTCGCGGGACCCTGAAAGCACTGCGACCCAGATTCTTCCAGTCCTCTGCCAAATTCTAAGTGTCCTCCTTGGCAACCTCGATATCACAATATCACAGTAGCGGGATTGCAAAATTGCATAGTATCATAAGATCATAATATCATAATATCACAATTTCATACTGCCATAATGATATTAGCAGCATAACATCATAATATCATAGTATCATAATCTCGATAAGAACTCAAAGGTTTCGCTCACTAGAAGCCCCTAAACCCTAAACCCTAAACCCTAAACCCTAAACCCTAAACCCTAAACCCTAAACCCTAAACCCTAAACCCTAAACCCCCAAACCCTAAACCCCAAACCCAAAACCCTAAACCCTAAACCCTAAAGCCTCAACCCTAAACCCTAAACCCTAACAAAGTTCGGCGCGCGTCTCGGCTGGCACCTGTAAACGCTTCCGGAGGCTTTTCCTGCTGTCCTGCTTTCAAGCCCTAAGGGTCCATGTACCTATATAGGATATACTTGGGCCTGAAAGGGGTTTGGGGTTTAGGGTTTAGGGTTTAGGGTTTAGGGTTTAGGGCTTAGGGTTCAGGGTTTAGGGTTTAGGGGTTCCATAGGGTAGCTTTGGGCCCCCCCATGGGTGCATGGACCCTTAGGGAAGGGACTCGATCTGCCTCGGGCTCCATGCGGTTAGGGAACCACAGCTCGCTGGCCTGAAGCTCAGGGCCTAGGGTTTAGGGTTTAGTGTTTTTGCTTAGGCTCCCAAAAAGGGCCGTGCTTTCGGGGTTTTGGGTGCAGGAATTAGGGCTTTAGGCTCCCGAAATGGGCTGTGCTTTTGGGGTTTTGGGTGCAGGATTTAGGGTCTAGGCTCCCAAAACGGGCTGCTGTTTCAGGGTTTAGGGTTCAGGGTTTGGGGCTTCAGGCTCCCAAAAAAGGGCTGTGAATTTAGGGGGCCAGTGTAGGGGGCTGCATGTATTTGGGGGTTTACGATATGAGGGTCACCTTACTGGGGTCCTTATTATAGGGGAATCCTATTATGTGGGAAAGATATATGGAGTCCCTGTATTTGCATGCGCTACAGAAAGTCCCGAGCTTCATTGTCGGCATTGTGTGCGCGTGCTGCGCCTGCTGCCGGCCTAAAGCCGTGCGGCAATGTTACGAGCGTAAAGGCTCACAACCTGAGAGCAATTTAGAATCAGGGTGCCATCTCGGGGATTTGGGGTTTAGGGTTCAGGGTTCAGGGTTTAGGGTTTCGGGTTTAGGGTTAAACCCGGTTATAAGGGGTAGCCCTTGTGGGCTTAAGACAGGGGGGTGTGGGTTAGAAGGCCGGCAGGGACAAAACGGGGGAAGACTATTGACAGAAACAGCATATTTTCGGGAATCTGAGACATGCGTGCCAAAGGGGGCTGAAGTCGGGCGGAGATGGCATAGTTTCGGGAATCAATTGACACCACTGGCTCCTTCTCTCAGGCAGTCTGCGTCCCAGGCATTGCGTGAGCGTTCGGCTACATCGCTTTGCTTTGCCCACCGCCTGCATGCATACTCGTTGGACTTGCACGCAGACATGCCTACATTGCGGCTGCATAGTACTCATCTGTCGAAGGTTGGCAACCATCAGCGCTGGCAATGGATGCATAAAAACAGGACTGTCCTCCAGGGTACCATGTGCAGCGCTTGCCCTTAATCTATATCCCCCTTTGGATTTTCTAGTGACGCAAACGCTCCCACCGAGCGTTCAAGAGTGTTCGGGAGCGGGAGTGTCCAAAACTGTTCGGGGATGTTCAGGTCTGTCCGGGAATGTCCCGTCCGGGAGTGTTCGTGAGTACTCGGGAGGAGCGTTCGGGAGGAGCGTTCGGGAGGCGACGAGATAGCAGGAAAGATCACTGAAAGTGCTTCGCCTCGGCCCCAAATCTCCGTTGGCTTGGAGGATGGAAGTGCTAGGTAGACTTGTCAAAAAGTAAGAAAGAGCTTTGACTAGGGTTTAGGGTTTAGGGTTGTGTGTCCTTTGCTTCATGCCTGTCTTGTGTGGGCGAGATTCTTCAACCGTGTGATTGTGTCAAGCCATGCAATCGCACACATGATGCCGATGACGACATTCACAAAGATAGTGAAGATGACAATGAGAATGACAACGAGACACAGAGCAATCATGAACAAGCCTTGGCGAATGTGGACTGGTACAAGCAATCTCGGGTGCGGTTTAGGATTTAGGGATTGGGGCTCGAGGTTGCAATGATTCTTTCTACCCTGAAGCCTACATCTCAGAGCCTTCAGCTCCATTTTTTTTTCGGGGGGAGACTTTCTGGGCCTGACGCCCTGACCACGCGAAAACCTTGGGAACTGTTGCCCTAAACCCTAAACTTTAAACTTTAAACCCTAAGTAAGCCCTAAGCTCTAAGACTCTAAGCCCTTGCGGGCATGGGGCCTTGGGGACTTCTGATGCAGTCGCACAGAGTTCTGGGTCCAGGGGTGCACACCCAACAAGGGTTTAGGGTTGAGGGTTTAGGGTTTAGGGTGCAAATCAACTCCAAGACCTTGTAATCTTTGGTCCAACCTCGAACCCTGAGACCCAAAAAAAGCCAACCCTAAACCCTAAACCCTGGTTACAGGTTCCGGAAGCTCATAAGATTCATGGACAAGATCCGGCAAGAGGCACCTCTTCTACTGTCCGAAAAGCCTCGTGGGAAAAGCGTTTCAGAGTTTAGGGTTTTGGGTTTGGGGGTTTAGGGGTTATGTAGGCGTGTAGGGTTTAACAGTTCTCAAAGACGAAACTTTGCGCATAGACCCTGAACCCTACTTGGGCTTTCAGTTACAGTCCAACTCAGGCATGAAGTGTTTTAGCCGATGCTCTTGTTCCTGCTTGAAGAACATGTTCCAAGTAGGGAAGCTATCGTCGTAAGTCATAGCTGGTTATAGGCCTTTTTGTGGGGGGGACTTATAACTTACAACCCTACATAGACTTGCAACCACACATGAACCTTCACCCTAAACCCCAAACCCCTAACCCTAAACCCTAAACCCTAAACCCTAAACCCTAAACCCTAAGTCCATGAAGCGGCAAGCCAGGAGAAAGACCAAGGAGCTGGAGCCTCGAAACCATTCCCGGCCGCCAGGCCATGAAACCAAAACCCTACTTGGAGGGTTTAGGGTTTAGGGTTTAGGGTTTAGGGTTTAGGGTTTAGGGTTTAGGGTTTAGGGTTTAGGGTTTAGGGTTTAGGGTTTAGGGTAAATATTTATAGCTGTACTTATAATCCACTTATAAGCCCCTTAAGTGCCCTAATATGGCTATAAGTACAATTATAAGTACAGCAAAAGTTGGGTTATGAAGTACCATGAAACCAAAACCCTACACGCCCTAGTGTGTTCAGGGATTCACAGCATCCCCTACTTCTTCCCCAAACCAATGGAAATACAAGATTGCCCACTTTCTCATTCTGAATCATGGGCCGCTACTAGAAAGTGTGTGTAAACTCTAAAACGTTGGAACATCCTTATCCCCATTCCCCAGAAGGTATACGAAAGTCAATCCCAGCTCTAATTATCCATCTTCCAACTTTCTGGAGTTTACTGCAAAAACCCCTAAACCCTAAACCCTAAACCCTAAAGCCTAAACCCTAAACCCCTACAAAGCCCTAGGTGCGACAGCGCGCCTTGGTCATCGTCTTCTGCGCCTCGGAGAATCCAAGGTTGAGAGTCTAGGTGTCCGGGAGGGTTGAGGGTTTAGGGTTCAGGGTTCAGGGTTTAGGGTTTAGGGTTTAGGGTTTAGGGTTCAAGGTTTAGGGTTTAGGGTTTAGGGTTTAGGGTTTGGGGTTCAGGGTTCAGGGTTTAGGGTTTAGGGTTAGGGTTTAGGGTTTTGGGTTTAGGGAAGCCTGGCCTGAACCCTATAAGCCTGAATTCAACCGGAAAGCCCACCGGGGCATTTGAGGATGAGTAGGCTTACCCCCTAAACCCTAAACCCTAAACCCTAAACCCTAAACCCTAAACCCTAAACCCTAAACCCTAAACCCTTTTTGGGGGTCCCTTTAAGGGCGATTCTCTTCTACTTGGGGTATGAAAGGGGCGTACCCCCCCATTTTGGGAAATGTCCAAATGCCAGGCTTTGAGGTAGTTCCTCCCCTGGCTTTGTTCGCAGTTTCTGTTCTGGAAGATGTATATATACATACATATGCAGATGCATATATACATATATATATATATGTATAACCCTAAATAAACCCTAAACCCTACACCCTAAACCCTAAACCCTAAACCCATAGCCCCCGAAAGCCATGAAGGCAACACCATCAAGACCTTGAAGGCCGTCGCCAGCTTCCTGGGCCGGGGGGCTCGTCCCGTCCTTCAGGGGCTCAGGCCCCGAAGCCCGGAGCCCTAAACCCTAAACCCTAAGCCTTAAGCCCTAAACCCTAAACCCTTGAGGCCTGGAATCCCTGAAATGATGATGAAACCCTACAGATGCAGCCCCCTTGGAGGTGCATGGTTAGTAATAAGTAGGGCTATGATTATGGAAATTGTAATGATCACCTTATTTAGGGTGCTTACAACCCTACTTGTAGCTACCCATGGACCCTCCATGTAAGCCTTAGTGTCTTGCCCAGAGTTGAGGGTACAGATGTCAGGTGCGAACCTGATAACCTGCCCCTAGTCTGTGCCCCAAGCAAATCAGGGTTTAGGCCCGGGTTGAGGGTCTAGGGGATTTAGAGTTCCCCTGGACCCGAAAAACCCTGCACCCTCAAAACCCTCGGCATAATCTCTCCGTCACTGCATGCCGGCAGGTGCAGAGGGTTGCGGATATGAGGGCTTCGTGCCAAGAACTCGCGACACGCGCAAGAACTGGATCCTGAAGCCTACAAGTTGCAAAGCTTAGCCCTAAGCCCTAAACCCTAAACCCTAGAAGACCTTGGAGTGCTCCTACAAGCCCGAGAAGCCCAAAGGCAAGCACAAGCATCCCTGCGCGCCCCTGCACTCGGGCATCCCACAGGTGCGGGTTCAGGCTTCAGGGTTCAGGGTTCAGGGTTCAGGGTTCAGGGTTTAGGGTTTAGGGTTTAGGGTTTAGAGTTTGGGGTTTGGGGTTTAGGGTTTAGGGTGCCGTTCTTGTTTATGCTTTTGTGGTTTTGGAACTTCACATCTTGGGAGGGAGGAGTTTTGGGGCTTCAGGTTTAGGGTTTTAGGACTGAAGGTTTAGGATTGATGGGTTTTGCTGGGAGTTCAGGGCTTAAGGTCTAGGGCTTCAGGGTTCATGGGCTTTAGGGTCGGAGTTTCGGGCTTGAAATTTAGGGTTTTTGGGGTTGCAGGCTGAATTTCGGGGTTTCGGGCTAAATTCGGCTCATGTGTGGGGGTCGTGGTTCATGGGCCGCCTCGGCGTCACGCTCTGAAACCGATACTGTACCTGGCTGCGTTTAAACTACGAATTGCTTAAGAACCCCCCAAGAATTTCAAGTATTCTTCCTTATAAGGGTAATTTTAACGCTACGCGACCCGCCTCGGCCCGGCCCAGCGCATCCGCGTGAGCATGGTGATTCCGCAGCGCCCAAGTCGCTGGACCCCAAGCAATAAGGCTTGGGTTTAGGGTTTAGGGTTCCGGGTTTATGGTTTATGGTTTGGGGTTTAGGGTTGAGGGTTAGTTTAGGATTGAGGGCTTAGGGCTCAAGGTTCACGCTTTGGGGTTTAGGGTTTTTTTGGGTTTAGGGTTCAAGAGACGGTTCGGCTTGGATTGATCGTAGGGGGTGAAGGGGGAAGGGGGGAAGGGGAGGGGGGGGGAAGGGGGGGGGGGGAAGGGGGGGGGAGGGAGGGGGGGGGGAAGGGGGGGGGGGGGAGGGGGGAAGGCGGGGTGGGGGGGGTTTGCTGGGAGGGGCTTCAACCGAAAAATGGCTTTGCGTGTGGGGGGAGGATTCAACCTATACACCTCCGGCCCGAGGCCTCGGCGGATTTAGGGATCATTTGTTAAATAAAATTTGGGGGGTTCTTCAGCAAACAGTAGCACGGTGTATAAACCTTTGGCTTGAATTTGAAATGGGGCAGCGAGGCCCGACAATTGATGTTAAAGGTGCGCCGCACGAAATTTTCTTACGACACCCGGAAGACTTGTCTTTTTACCCTAGATCCCCAAACAATCACCGTGTCCTGAATAGCCCGGCACACTTGGCTTAATTCAGGAGGCCCCTACTCAAGAGAGTCCCGCATTGGCCCCATAAGTTCTGGACCGGGCCCCTAAACTGTCTTAAGCTTGCTCCCCCCCCAAGTAGACGAATGGAAAGAGAAGGGGCCACCTCCTGTCCTGGAAATAGGGTTGGACATATTCGGTGTCATTATCGCTTACAGCTAGAACTCAAAATCCCAATGCCCAAACCCAAAACTACTCAAACCCTAAAGCTCCAGATCCTTTATTCCTTACACCCCAAACCTAACCCTAAACCCTAAACCCTGAACCCTGAACCCTAAACCCTAAACCCTAAACCCTATCGATAAACCTGAAGCTGATTAGAGTCCAAGCCCCAGAACCACAACCTCCAAGTCATAAATCCTGAATCCCAAACCCCCAAAACCTGACCCAAAGGCCCCATGAACTCTGGAATCAGCTTAGGGTTTAGGGGTTAGGGTTTAGGGTTTAGGGTTTAGGGTTTAGGGTGATCCAAGCAAAGCGGCAAGAGCACCATGAGGCCAAGCGTGAGAGGGCGCTGAGCGAGTTCAAGGCACCTCTCGATATTTCGGAAGTTTTGACGGGGGTGTGGGGGGCTGAGGGTTTAGGTTTATTTACGTGTCAGGAATTCTGGCATTCAATAAAAATTTTGTGTTGAGGGGGGGCTGAGGGTTTAGGTTTAGGGGTCATGGTTGTTGGGGCATTAGTTTTAATTAACACTTATTAGGCATTTGAGTGTTTAGGTCTCTGTGCATGGTAGTTTTTCTTGCCCAATATCTTCAATTGCCGAGTCGCTCACCCTTCCCTTCATTCAATATCACTAAATCGCTTCCTTCTTGAAAATTAAGGATACCTCTCTCTCTCTCTCTTTTTAATAGACTCTATTTTGGGCACAGAGGGGGAACCCCCTATTTTGGGAAATCCCTCACACTCATCTTTGGGGGTTTGGGGTTTGGGGTTTAGGGTTTAGGGTTTAGGGTTTAGGGTTTAGGGTTTAGTCCCTCCACTCGCGAGCTGCGCTTTAAAGAGGGCCTAAACACGCAAGCCCTATGAACCCTATCAATTGGGACGTTCCCCCTTCTACTGACAGTCCTTAAAAGGGATTCGAACTAGGACCGGGAGTAGGGACCGGGAGTAGGCCATCATTCCCTTTTTTTAGGTATGGGTTCCCTTATAAGCCCCTTAAAACCAAAAAGGGCACCCTTTTTATTCCTAGGTTACTCCCGGGTCTAGATTCTAATAGGGGGTACTATCATCCCTATTAAGGACTGTCAGTATAAGGGTCAACATCCCAACCTATCGACCCCAAGAAGCCCCGTAAACAATATACTACAGGGGTCGGGATAATTACTGATAGTATTCCCTTATGGCCCCTATATAGTTCTACTAGCATAACCCCCAAAACCCTACATTAAGCCCTCGAAGCCTTAGAAACTTTATCAACAAACTGTGCAAGCCCCCATGAAGCCTACAAGCCCCTGGAGCCATAAGTCCTAGAAGCCCTAAAAAATGAAGCCCTTTAAGCCCTATATAATGAAGCCCTTTAAGCCCTATATAATGAAGCCCTATATAATGAAGCCCTTTAAGCCCTATACAATGAAGCCCTTTAAGCCCTATAAATACCAGGATCACGTCTCCACAAAGAGCGGTTGGGCCTTGCTCCAGTCCATGATTAACGTGCTGGCCTCGTCCCGAAAACTTCAACCGTAAAAGGCCCTACACGCAAAACCCTGCGCGTAAACCCGAAACACCACAAAGCGAATTTTGTCCTGATGTTCTCGGGATTGCTTGCCCCACACCTTCGGACCCGGCGATGGAGCCGTAGTTTGCAGCAAATCCAGGTTTCGGTTGCAGGGTCATATAAAGCCCCCAAACCCCGAACCCCAAAGCACTATGTAGGGTTTAGGGTTTAGGGTCTAGGGTTTAGGGTTTAGGGTTTAGGGTTTAGGGTGTAGGGTTTAGGGTTTAGGGTTCCCCAAAGCAGGCCGGGAGCCTCCAACTTCTGATTGCTACGGACGTGGCCGCCCGGGGCTTGCACGTGAAGCACTTGCGCCTCGGCCCTGCTTTCAGGGGCTCATAGGGTTTAGGGTTTAGGGTTTAGGGTTTAGGGTTCAGCATCTCAAGTCCGAGCATTCACTAGTCAAGCAGCTTGTCAAGGGTTGGAATAAAACCCCACCCACCCAAGAAACCCATAACATTGAGAAAATACAAAGTTCACTCAATACATTCCCAGTAGGCTGAAAGCTCAAGGTCCAGTTGTTTCGGATTCAGCTCCTTCTGGACCATCTCTGAGCTTTTTTCGGACCCTACGGTTTAGAAGCCCTATTGGTGAAGGCTCGGTTTTGGTCAAAAATCCAGAAAATGAGAGGCCGCCCAGAACCGTCGATTTCAGTACTAAAAAATCGCATTTTTAACTGGGACCCGGGCCGATCCTGGGGTCCCCCTCATTTGGGGTGTTTTTGGAGGCAAACTTTCCCTCTCAAGGGGGGTCGGAGTTTGAGGCAAGGGGGGTCTCCGAAGACTATTTTGCCTTTAAAATTGAAAAATACGCCCCCCCCTTGACCAAAACTAGGCTGTGAAAAGGTCGCGGGGGCGGCCCTTCATCAGAATTGAAGGTTACAAGCCCTGAAACATCCTGAAAAACATTGAAAAACCTTAAAAACACTGAAAAATTCTGAAAAACCTTGAAGAACCTTGAAAAACTTGAAATCCTGAAACCGGTGAAGGCTCGGTTTTGATCAAAAATCCAGAAAACGAGAGCCCACCCAGAACCGTCGATTTCAGTACTAAAAAATCGCATTTTTAACTGTGAGGGCGGCCCTTCATCAGAATTGAGGGTTACAAGCCCTGAAACATCCTGAAAAACATTGAAAAACCTTAAAAAACACTGAAAAATTCTGAAAAACCTTGAAGAACCTTGAAAAAGCTTGAAATCCTGAAACCGGTGAAGGCTCGGTTTTGATCAAAAATCCAGAAAACGAGAGCCCACCCAGAACCGTCGATTTCAGTACTAAAAATTCGCATTTTTAACTGGGACCCGGGCCGATCCTGGGGTCCCCCTCATTTGGGGTGTTTTTGGAGGCAAACTTTCCCTCTCAAGGGGGGGTCGGAGTTTGAGGCAAGGGGGGTCTCCGAAGACTATTTTGCCTTTAAAATTGAAAAATACGACCCCTCCTTGACCAAAACTAGGCTGTGAAAAGGTCGCGGGGGCGGCCCTTCATCAGAATTGAGGGTTACAAGCCCTGAAACATCCTGAAAAACATTGAAAAACCTTAAAAAACACTGAAAAATTCTGAAAAACCTTGAAGAACCTTGAAAAACTTGAAATCCTGAAGCCGGTGAAGGCTCGGTTTTGATCAAAAACCAAGAAAACGAGAGCCCACCCAGAACCGTCGATTTCAGTACTAAAAATTCGCATTTTTAACTGGGACCCGGGCCGATCCTGGGGTCCCCCTCATTTGGGGTGTTTTTGGAGGCAAACTTTCCTTCTCAAGGGGGGGTCGGAGTTTGAGGCAAGGGGGGGTCTCCGAAGATTATTTTGCCTTTAAATTGAAAAATACGACCCCTCCTTGACCAAAACTGAAAAGGTCGCGGGGGCGGTCCTTCATCAGAACTTAGGGAAAAAATCTTGAAACACCCTGGAAAAACGTTGAAAAATTGTGAAAAACACCCCTACAGCCCTAAACCCTATGCCCCAAACCCTACAGCCCTAAACCCTATGCCCCAAACCCTACAGCCCTAAACCCTATACCCCAAACCCTACAGCCCTATGCCCCAAACCCTACAGCCCTAAACCCTATGCCCCAAACCCTACAGCCCTAAACCCTATGCCCCAAACCCTACAGCCCTAAACCCTATGCCCCAAACCCTACAGCCCTAAACCCTATGCCCCAAACGTTAAAAAACCCTGAAACATCCTGAAAAACCTTGAAAAACACTGAAAAACTCTGAAAAACCTTGAAAAACCTTGAAAATGGGTCCGGCCCAGGAAAAAAACAATATGCCGACGAAGGGGGTCAGGGTTTAGGGCCCAAAAAAAAAAAAAAAAAAAACAATATGCCGACGAATGTCATTAGGGTTTAAATATACATAGTAAGAGAGGGTTTAGGGTTTAGGGTTTAGGGTATGTTTAGGGTCTAGGGAGTCTAGGGTTCAGGCTTTTCGGACTTCTCTGGATTTCTGTCTGCTTGGGTGCTATGGGCTTTGGGTAGGTGTCTCTCGACCCGGAACCCCCAAGCCCTAAGTGGGAGTTTACGGAAATATGGACCCCAAATATAGACCTCCAAATGGTAGGATTCTCTTTTCACAAGGGCCCCAGTAAGGTACCCCTAATTTTGGAAACCCTAAATCCTGAACCCTCTGAGTCCCAAGCAGCCTCACGGCCCCGACGGCTACGGCCTGTCAGCGTATGACCTTCACATTTTCGGTTTATGGCAGATAAGGGAGTCTGGGTAGTTTAGGAAGCGTAATTTGGGATCAGAGACGGTAACCCTAAACCCTAAACCCTAAGCCCTGAACCCTAAACCTTTTTGTGATTTTGGAAGCCCTCTTAGCTCCCGCTTTCGGTTGAAGCAGGCGCTACGTCATCAACTACGACTTTCCTCCAAACCTCGAGCGCAGCCGTCGCGATTGCTGCCTGAGATCTTTTTGCTCAAAAGGGTTTAGGGTTTAGGGTCTGGGGTTTAGGGTTTAGGGAATACCCCATGGACTACGTATAGGAGTACCGCAACCTGAATGCAAAACAACAGCTAGTTCTCAGCCAGATTTGCCGATTTGAGGGTTAGCGGTCAGCATAATATAGCTTATTCACTAACCCCTCAACCTAAACCGGCCTAAACCCACCCAAGAGGTCAAAGCCACACTAAACTCGAAACCCTGAACCCTAAACCCTAAACCCTAAACCTTGGAAGGCAGTACTGCCATCGTATCGGCCGAACGGGCCGGGATGGCGAGCCCTGATCTCAGATATCATGGGGTTTAGGATTTAAGGGTTTGGGGTTTGGGGTTTAGGGTTTAGGGTTTAGGGGTTTGGGATTTCAGGGTTGCGTTCTGTCGGCGACTGATGGCGGTGTTGTGCATGCCGCGCCTCTTTGCTGATTTTATCGAGATCTTTGACGCCTTGCGCGCTTGCACCCTCAACCCGCACCCCGGACCCAGAACCCTACACCCCGAACCTCCAAACCCGAAACCCAAGAGCTGAAGGTGTAAGAGTTTGCAACCCTAAACCCTAAACCCTAAACCCTAAACCACCCAGGGTTCAGGTTTTTCATGCTTAGGGTTCCGCGATGTGTTGCATGTTGGGTCGGTCTCTGACTTCGGGTCATGTAGGGGTCGGCATCATTACTGATTAAGTATTCCTTACGGTCCCATTTTAGCTGTACCATAATAACAACCCTCCCCCCCCAAAAAATATATATAAGTAAAATAAATAAAATATAATAGAAGAATGACAGAAAAAACAGCTAATCATTAAGGCACTTTTATGATGCTGGGCATCGATTGGTGTTTGATGTCGGCTCCGTTTCGAGGGCTTTGGTGAAAGGCTGCAAGATCATCGAGCCTGTGTGCGGAGGAGACATCGACTTAGGGGTTTAGGGGTTTAGGGTCTGGGGAAGGGCTTGAGGCTTCCTAGCTTCAAGTGATCAGTCCTCTTCATTATGGTCCCTTCTGCATTCCTGTTGTTTTTGTTTTTTTGTTTGTGGCCCTTTTGTTTTTGTTTAGAGCGCCGAACTAGGACCTGGAGTAGTCCCTTATTTCCTGTTTTTAAGCTGGGCTCCCTTATAAGCCCCTTACAACCAAAAAGGGCACCTTTTTTATTCCAAGGTTACTCCTGTGTCTAGGAAACCCTAAACCAAAATGAGCAAGCGCCAAAAGCCAGAGCCATTCAAGCAAGCAAGGAGTGGACACGAATGCCCAAAGCCCTGTAAAGCGACGGGAACACCTGCAAAGCGACACCCCTAAGTTAATGAACCGTTGGGTGGGCCATAGCCTTGAATTTTCCCAAAGCCACACCTGCAGACAGCAAGCGTGAACTACTGATGCTAAAACCCTGTAAAAGAAAACTATGGGAACACTTGAAAGCGACACCCTGCATGTTGCGTCCATTAGCACCACCAGCCGGTTTGGGCAGTCGCTCACATATTAAGAGAGCCGGCCTCACGATCTCTACTGAGCGCCAGAGTCGGTTGGGTGACCTATGTGAGAGTTTACCAAAATGAGGCAACGAAAATAAACGACCCCAAATAGAGACCCCCCCCCCCCCAAATAGTAGGACTCCTTTATACTAAGGACCCCAATAAGGTACCCTAAGTTTGGAAGCCCCTATGTACCCTGAAAGCAGGGGCGCCTCACTTTGTGTGCAAATTCTCGTTTTCTGAAAGTCTGCAGGTTCTCCTAGGCATGAAGCCTACACCTTGGGATGCTCCCCCTTATACTGACAGAAGGGGATGATAATTGGGGGGGGGGGGGGGGGCTACAACAATACCGGGGAACATCCCACCTACACCCCCTAAACCCTGAACCCTAAACCTTAAACCCTAAACCCTAACCCATGGAACCCGAAACATCATGCTGACGAGGTCTGGGACCGCCATGTCCTTCTTCACGAGGCCCGGTTTGAAGGGTGAGGGGGCTTCTGCAAATGTGGTTTTTCGAAAATGGGGGGACACCTGAAAAAAAAAATATATATATATATATAGATAGATAGATAGAGAGAGAGATATGTATATATATATATATGTATACACACACACACACATAATTATACAAACCCCCGCATACCCTAATAAGGTACCCCTAGTATGGTAACCCCCCACCCAGCCCCCCCCCGCCCCCCCTTTCGCTTTCGCCCCCCCCCGCCCCCCCCGCCCCCCCCCCCCCCCCCCCCCCCCCCCCCCCCCCCCCCCCCCCCCGCCCCCCCCACTTCACCCCCCACTTCACCCCATCGCCCTCCTACACGAAAGATTCCCAAAGATCTCCCCAAAGTTCTCCCCCCTGAACCCGGAAACTGCCCCCAAATCCGCAAGCCAACCGCAAGACTGAAGCACCGCACCCCTTGAAGCCTCAAGCCTCAACCCTAAACTTGGGGTCTTCGTCTGCCACCTCTACGCGACCTTGACCTCTGCACCGGGCCGCAAAGTGCCTGGGGGGCGACAAGGTTGAAGGACTAAGTTCAACCTCCTTTTTAGGAGCTTTAGGTTGTTTCGGGGGAGTTTGGGTGTTCAAGTCCTGATATTCCCGAGAGGATGTTGAAAAAGGGTCCCTGAGCCCAAGGGTACAAGGTTGAATCTCATGATATCCGAAGCCCTAAACCCTAAACCCTAAACCCTGAACCCTGAACCCTAAACCCTAAACCCGAAACCCTCCCTGCTCCAGGAACATGGCCCCTTTGAGCCGTGACCTGGTCCTTCTCCTGGAGCGGAGTGGACAGAAGGCACCCTGTGGATTTGGGATAGGGTTTAGGGTTTAGGGTTTAGGGTTTAGGGTTCAGGGTTCAGGGTTCAGGGTTTAGGGTTCAGGGTTGAGGGTTTAGGGTTTAGGGTTTAGGGCTCTCCTTTTGACCTCTTCGGGGCCAAGACCTCGTAGATAGCGTCGCCTCTGACTTGTTTGTTTGGGGGTCCGGGGCCTTGAAGGCGAGGCTTCAACCCTACTCTTACATTTGGTTATTAGGGAATATGGGACTGAGTATATAAGGGGTAGCCTGTTCAGGGCCCATACTAAGGGACCACGTAGTTACCCTTAGGTTCAGGGAAAAGTAGATCCTAGGCCTTTGGGTTGAGGGCCTTTAAGGTGTAGGGTTGGGGTTTGTCAATGTCTTTTAGTGGGTTGAGGATTGAGGGTGCGACCTTGCTTGGAGCTTTCATGGGTAGTTCTTCACTGTAGGTATAGGTGAGGGGTTATACAACCCTAAACCCTATTTGGGTCGAATCCCTAAACCCCGTAGACGCTAATCACTAACCCCCCAAAATAAACCCTAAAACAGAAGAAGCCTTAACCACCCGAACCCTAGACATAAGCACAAACCCAAGAACTTAACCCCGAAATCCCAAAACCCGAAACCCTAAACCCGAAAGCCCGAAACCCTTTAGCCTAGTCTTCGGTGACGTAGGGAATTGGAAGACCACGGCTGATGGTTTAGGGTTTAGAGTTTAGGGTTCAGGGTTCAGGGTTTAGGGTTCTAAAGCTCCTTCAAGAGGATGTATCATGGGAGAAGAGCCCGCTTAGACGAGGAATCCCTACCGAACAGGGAAACTGCTTTATGGTTTGGAGTTGAGGGTTTAGGGTGGTTTTTGTTTGGGACAACTTACCATATCCATGTCGCGAATGTTACATGCACCGCAACCCTGAGTGTCCACCATAGATCTCAGACCCACCTCCCCCATTCAGTGCAACCTAATGGTTCGGGGAGGGGGGGATACCATAGCGAGGGGATCACATTAGTTCCCTAATTACCCAGCAAATGCCAGGTCGATCAACATCTGCGTGCCCTAGCAGAAGGCCGGGGTCAACATTCTCTTGTCATTAGAACAAAGATTGCATCTGTATGTTTTCTCCCATGTATCATATAACACCCTGAGGCCCTGAACCCTAGCCCTGGTACTGATTCACTGGTCTGGCCCGTTGCATACTTTCGTATAAGCTGTGCATTGGCTCCGTTTCGTGCAGGTCAAGCAGTCACTGGCTCCAATATACCATGATTCCTTTTCAAGTACGTTCAACGTAAACCCCTAAACCCTAAACCCTAAACCCCGCCCCAAAAGACTCCCAGACAGATCCTGCGAGGCAAAGATGGCCAGCCTGCAGGAAAGGCTCTCAGATATCAACTGGGTTTTGGGGTACTATTACTTTAATACTATGATAGCTGCTTTTACCTCAAGAGTGTATACTTGTTTGTTTCCAGAAACCCGAAACCCTAAACCCTAAACCCTACACCCTAAACCCTAAACCCTAAATTTACTCCAAAGTAGGGTACAGGTCGTAGGGATAGGATGTGCAGGGTGTGGCCGCCCAATCCGTGGGGAACATCCCAGCCTAGCAGGCTTAGATCCAAAACCCCGAAGGCCCTAAACCCTAGACACGGCAGCGAGGGGTTTAGGGGTTCTAGGGTTTTAGGGGTTCCAGGGTTTAGGGTTTCGGCTGTAGGGTTTAGGGGTTCTTGTATTTTATATCTGTGCATTCCCTCCACTTTTGCTTCCATGTATGTTGCACTTACCTGTGACGCTCAAGCCCTCTGAGTAAAAAGGTTAGGCGCGCCCCTGCTCATGGCTTAACGGATAACAACTGGTGGATTTCCCAAACTATAGGTTATCAGCCGTAGGCTCCCCGGAGCTTGCGGCACCACTGACCTGGAGTTTCGACTCAGTGCATGGGTGACAGCCCCGAGCTGGTCCCCACCGAGGTAGCAACTGATCTCGGTACAGACGGATTTACAGACGCAGAATCCGCGGAGATGGACCTCTCAGGCACTTTGGCTATGCCACCGTCTACGGATGGCCGTGGCCTAGTGCTGGAAGAGAATGCAGCGGCAGCTAATGTGTTTGCGCCAAACGCACCTTCTCCTTTCGTAGGACTAGGAGCTCCGCAGATCCACATGTACCGACAACAGTTTCAGCAGAACATCACGATAGGTGAAACACCTGAACAAACAAGACTTCTCCTCACTGAGTTAGAGAACGAAGCAGAGTCCAGGCACCAGAGGTTCCGCCTAGCTGCTGAAGAAGCCCACGATCAACAAATCGCAGATGTTGAAGAAAGGGCTAACAGGCAGCACGAGGAAGTCGTTGCTAGACTTGAGTCTGAAATTGCTAGCCAAAGGTATAGCTTTGTCGCGAGGACCCAAGGTCTCTTTTCAGAACTCCAGCAACAAAACCAGATAATCAATTTTCAGTCAGAACATTTTTCCGATGTTGGTTCGCAAATCACACGTCTCAGGACAACTCTGGTTGAAGAGGCTGAACAAAACAAGAGGGAAAGCATTAACGAAATTGGGGAATGGTTTGGGAGAGAGCATGATGAGGCAATGAAAAGGTACCGCAGCATAGCCCTGGAAACTGAAGAGCAAATGAGGATTCAAAACATGACCCTCCAAGATGAATTGTCATCAATGGAGCGTGCGCTCCAGCTCGAACAGGACAGGAATTTAGGTATCAATCCCTCGCAGCAAGCTCAGTTTCCCAGCGCCACTGCCCCAGTTGCTCCAGCGCCAAGCGCCGGGCTTAGTGCTCCGTGTGCCCCTCAGTTTTCAGATCCGAGTGTGATTCCGATGAACATCAGGGCATTGTTTCCAAACTTTAGTTTTGGCGGTGTGGCAACTACTGCCACTCCAACGGGACCACAGGGTCCGGTTTCTGCCCCAGGGACCCCAACAGCATCAGCTAACGTCCCAAATCTAGGATCATCTAGTGGTGGTTTGAACGCCGGAGCCCCTGGTCTTGCGGCCCCAACAGGCACGCCGGGAGGTCCGGCAGCTACTGGAGCCGATTTAATCGCACAGACGCAGCAAGCGCTGCTTGAAGCCGCCAAGCTTCTTAAAGGAGACAAAAGCGGTGAAGATGACAAACCAAAGGTTAAAGAAGCTGAAACCATGCGCCTGCCGGATTTCCCTAACCCCGAAACCTACCGTGCATGGAAAACCGCAACACGGGAGGCAGTTAGGGCAGCTTCAGATAGACCAGATGAAGCCTTCTCTTGGATTCTAGAGGTGTATTCTAAGAATGCTGATCATGAAAAGCTTCGTGAACCCGGTAAGTTTCTCACGCTGGATACCAAAATCCTAGCCGCTCTCACTAAGGTCGCCAAAGGTGAGTTATCTCGGCAGGTACTCACTTTCAAGGAAACCGAGGCGGTTCAAGGACGTGCCGTACGAGGACGCCAGGTCTTGCTCATGTTTGATCAGTACTTCAAAACAAATGAAGAGGTAGGATCGCTCTATTCGGTAGAAGACCTTTTGAAGGTTACGCTGCATAGTGACGATCTAACCACATTTCTGCACAATTGGGAATCAGTCATTGCTGGCATGAGTCATGTCCCAGAAGAAATGGTTCTGCGTGACATCCTTCTTCGGCAAATCCGAAAGTCCTCAAGAATGAAGTATGATTTGGAAATCTACGACAGGGCGAAAGAGGGTTCTGCCTCACACTCCTATGCGTTCTTGTTGAAGTCAATCCGGGATTTGTTGACCCGTGAAAGGATGCGCAAGAACAGGGATAGAATCGCCAAGTCTCATGGGGACAAGTTTGGTGCTCCTGTTGTTGAAGGCGGAAGGCCGACACGCCCTCCGTCGAGGAGTGGCCGCGGAAGGGACCGCTCTGCCGGTAGCCAGTCTAATTCAAAGTCAAGGTCTCGCTCTAGGACCCCATCCAGATCTAGATCACCTAGCCGATCACAAAGCCCAAAGCCAGTTTGCTACGACTTTCAAAAGGGTAAGTGCACCAGGGGTGACAAGTGCAAGTTTTCGCACAAACCCCGTTCGCAATCCCCTGTTCGCACTGCCCCGAAGAAGAAACAGGTCTGCACGTTTTGGAAGAAGGGAAAGTGCACTAGGGGAGATAAGTGTCGTTTCTTGCATAGGGAACCGAGCCCTACTCCCTCAGGTGGTGAAAACGCAGCCCCGGCCCCTAAGGGCCCAGACAAACCAAGGTCCCCGTCACCCGCGCCAACGCGCAGGAAACCAAGCCGTGGACGCTCTAAGGAAAAGGACAGGAAGGCCGCATGCTGCATCTCGCTTGCGGCTGCAGCCTCAGCTGGTCCTGAGGAGAGTGAACCACAAGGTGGGGACGAAGACTACTGGGAAGTAGACTTCAAAAGGGGTGAAGCTGTTAGGCACCATTTGAAGTACAGAAGTACTATGTACAAGCCCGAAGTGTCATGTCCTGTTGCTCTTGAAAGGTTGAAGGGTAAGGCCAAAGTGATCAAGACGCTTCCCATTTCTCCGTACACTGCAAAGGAGAACTGGGACTGGAAAGAGGGAAGAGGGGGAACCGGCGATAGGACGCCGTGGACCGGCAAGACTGTTTTCAAGATCAAAGAACAAAACAAGAAGGTCAGGTTTTCCGACAAACCCAAAGTCAGGGAAATCCCCTTTGAGGGAAAGGGGTACAAACATTCCTACAAAGTTCGCAGGTACAATACTTGCTATGCTGATGCGGAAAACTGCCCTAAGCCTGACGCTAATGACCTTCAGGTTGCAATTAGGAACGCAAGGGAACTCAAGATGCTTCTTGCCCGGCATGAGGGGGGAGAGAAAACCGATTGCCACTTAGAGTGTGATGAGCCTGATTCTCTCATGTGTGGGATGTGCAAGCACGTTGTTGAGAGCTCAGAGATCGCTTGTCCAGGGATCGCCACGCCCTTAGAATTCCTTGCTGACACAGGAAGCGAGGAGGACCTTATCAGCGAAGCCGATCGTGCTATGTACTTCGGCGAAGAGCCAGTAGGCAACGCAATACGACAAGTGAATCTCATCACTGCTAATGGTAACGTCAAAGGTGACAAGTCGGTTAGGATCGACTTCCCGGAGTTTGGCAAAGAGCTAGAGTTCTATGTTCTCAACAGCACCCCTCCTGTTTGCTCCGTAGGCAGAAGGTGCATGGAGGACGGTTATGAGTTCCACTGGTACCCCAAAAGGCCGCCTTACTTTGTTGCGCCCAATGGTCAAAGACTAAGGTGTAGGATGAGAGGTATGGTCCCAGTGCTAGGGGGAGGAGCAATGGCCGCTCCAAGCGCTAAGGAGGAAGCCTCAGGTTCTCTCGGACGACCAGTTTTGTCCGAGGGTTTTCAGAAAACTGCCGCCCAATAGGGCCGGCCGAGGCTTTCGCAGGAGCAGCAGAGGAACGAGATCCAGTGGTCGAGCACCCCGATCCTGAGATCTCCGCAGCCATCAATGAGGTGCCGCCGATAGATATCCCCAAAGAGAAGCTCAAAAGACCAGGTTGGGTTTCGCACCCAAATGCTAAGTACTTGATTGTCGGACACAAACCAAAGACGCTTCGTACTGCTACCCCAAGGTTTCCAAGATGCGAAGTCAGATCTACTTGGTTGTTCAGGGAAGGTTCTTGGGTCAAGGTTGAGGATAAAGTGAACGTCAGGGAGCTTGACAACAAAGTTGCCCGACTGGAGGGTAATCCAATCCTGAGCCTCACTATCTTCGAAGACCCCGATGTTGAACCTGACAGTGACAACGAAGGAAACGCCCGCAGTCTTGCAGAGGCCGATCTGAAAGCTGAAGCCAAATCTGTTGAGCACTTGTTCTCGCACAGGCCCAAGAATCCGTTCTGCGAGGTATGTCAGCGTGCAAAGATGTTGGCTCCCCAAGCCCGCAAAAAGGGGGGCTCAAGTACCATTGTGTCAAAGGCCTTTGGGGATCACATCACGGTTGACCATATCATCACTCGTGACCTTCGTGATCATGGGTTCCAGGACGAAAGGGTCGCACTTGTTGTTAAGGACGTGTTCACCAAATTTCGTTACGTCTACCCCTCCCCGACTAAGTCAAGCGATCAGTGTTTTGAAGACCTTCTTCACTTCCTAGGTCAAGAAGATGCAGTCGGCGTTTTCTACTCAGACAACGCACCTGAACTTCATGCCGCTATCAAAAGCCTAGGTGTCCGACATGTTACATCCCGCGAATATGTGGACACCAACAAGTCGGTAATCGAAAGAGAAATTCGGACGATCTTGGAGGGTACCCGCTCCAACCTTGTTCAGGCGGGTCTCCCCGACAAGCTTTGGCCGTTGGCCGCCCAACACCATGCGATGGCACTTAATGCAACTAAGAGGCTTGACAACGGGATTGTTCCCTGGGA